CCAGAAAAACTGTGAAATAGTACCCGCTAGCCGGTACTACGCTAAGTGGGAACGCAACCAAAAACGGGCCCCGCACGGCTCGGCATGCTTAAAGCGAGCTCCGCGCTGTAGTGAAAATGCGCCATAACTCCCTCATTAACACGTAAAGTACACACATGCTTCATCATCTGCCTGAGACGCACAGTTAACATGTTGGTCCTGAGTAACTTTTTCAAACTTCAGACTTTATCTGAGACTTTTATTTTGAGGAGAATCATTTAACCTTTGACCTTAGTGTGAAAGCTGCAGCTTGACAGAGAAGGCTTTCAAGCTCAGTCAAGCTCAGTCAAGCCTTCAACACATGTGAGAAAATATTATTATTTCTGCTGTAGGAAAAAGTTAAATAGAGAAATAAATACTCAAGGCAATAATGATGTTAAAAAAAGTATAAAAAATATATATACTTTCAACACGTTTTCAATTTAAAGTGGTTATTATCTCTGAAGAACCAGCACTTTACCGTGGTAGAGAGGTTTGTGTGCCCTGATGAACCTGGGGGTTGTGTTGTCTGGAACTTTTTGTTCCTGGTAGGGTCTCCCATTGCAAATTGGTCTCAGGCAAGGGGCCAGACTAAGATTGGTTCAAAAGACCTCATGAAAGACAACACACAAAGTGAGGATACCCGGCCCAGAGGAAGCCCAGGGTCCCCTTCTGGAGCCAGGCCCAGAAGGAGGACTCGTCGGCGAGCGTCTGGTGGCCGGGCTTGCCACGGAGCCCGGCCGGGCACAGCCCGAAAAGGCAACGTGGGCAACACCTCTGCTTCTCCGTCCCGCGGGTCCACCACCTACGGGAAACAGCGATGGGGTCGGCTGCGCTGCCAGAAGGGTGGCAGTGAGAGTGGAGGGTCTCGACGGACCAGACCCGGGCGACAGAAGCTGGTTTTGGGGACGTGGAACGTCACCTCTCTGGGGGGGAAGGAGCCGGAGCTTGTGCGGGAGGTGGAGCGTTACCAGTTGGATCTGGTGCTTATGCACCCAACAGCAGTTCAGAGTATACGGCCCGTATACTCTGAACTGCTGTTGGGTGCATAAGCACCAGATCCAACTGGTAACGCTCCACCTCCCGCACAAGCTCCGGCTCCTTCCCCCCCAGAGAGGTNGATACTTGCGCATTAGTTTCTGTTATGGATCAGTATCAGCAGTCCTGCCTGTAACGTTAGTATATTATCAATGCTACTTTAGCCTGATATATGATAGCTAACTTCACAATGTTGTGATGTGACGTTAGCTAACATTCTGTAGCTAACGCCGGTCACTCACCAAGATAGCTGCCCAGTTCTCCACTGGTTCTCCTCACACCACAGCTCAATTTCTCTCCGATGGCCGTTATTTCTTCTAATCCTTGGCTGCTCCTGGTCTCTTGGACGCCTAGCAGGCTCATAATTATAAGGTTGTGGTCCGTCATATGCATTCGAATATTCATGTTCAACTTCTTCTGTGTCTTCTGTGTCGAAACTAGCATTGGGATCCATGTTTATTAATACGTTACACCGGCCGCTCTCCCCCTTGTTTCCCCCGTGTTACGTCACACGCGGGAGGTCACGTGCCAAGGCTTTTTTATGCGGAAGTGAACATTTCTTACAAAAACGACGCCAGATGTCACTTTATTGTATATTTCTGTATATTTTTTGGAAAATCTAGTGTATTCATCATTTTCCTACACATTTATTCACAGGTGTCTGTGGGACCCGTTTTTAGTGTTTACTAAAATAAAATGTATGCAATTTAATAATTTTAACCTGCTTTATTTGGGGGTGGACCTAACCTCCTCTAGGGGGGTCCGGGGGCATGCACTCCCGGGAAGATTTTTTTTTTAAATGTTGAAGTGAAATGCATCAATCTGGTGCACTTTGAGCACAAAATGAATTTATGGATACAGCTCTCAACACTCATATGAAAGGGAGCTGTATACTTTTCAATAATCCAAAAATCTTTAGAATATGATCACAACCAATAACATCATTTAAACTTGTTTATTCTTATCTTATGTTACCTAGTTAGCATATATTTAACAAACGCTTGCTTGGCGAGCTACTTATTGAGGGCTTGCGAGCTACCGGTAGCTCGCGATCGACGTGTTGGAGACCCCTGGTCTAAAGTAAAAGACAGAGAATCAGCACTTTTGAAACCGAGGGGATTATGGGATGCTGCAATGCATGATCTGTTTGGTATTTGGAGCCAAACACTTCAGAGACATGTTTTGTATATATCTGATACCTATAATATATTGATGAAAACAGTATAATAGGGGACCTTTTAAGATCATGCACGTCCCCAGTGATATTTGCTTTACTCTTAACTTTTCAATCTAGGGCTAAATCCCATCACTTAAGTTGAATATTTGTCTCTCCCCAGCGAGGGCTCAGCAGGTGCCGGCAGTGTCCCAGTCAGCCTACTCCCCTTCTTCCTCGGACACGGGGGAGTCCATGCTGGCCAACTCTCCCCAGACTGTGCTAACCAAAAGCCTCCCACCGGCCAACATCATGAGCCTGCCGCTAACACAGCCCACCACCAAGGTACAATAAACTCATTAATGTTATTTATAGTTAGCAACATTACTCACGTCTATGACATTTAAATGAAACAATGAATGACAACCGAGAGCAGTAAGTGAGGCTCTTGCACATTCAATTTAACACAAATGTCTAGGGTGGGGTTGCTTATGGGGCTGCTGAAACATGTAGTGTATGTATCTTAAAGGAATATGATGAAGATGGACTTAAACCTTAGTATTGTGACATCCACACTTTTTTATTTCTAGAAAAAAGGTGTGAAACGTAAGGCAGACACCACCACCCCTTCCACCATGGGATTAACTGTGGGCCTGTCAGGAGCAACACACATGGTGGGTCTTGGGAAAGGAGGCCACGGGGGCCAGGTCCACGACACCTCCATGCACTCCATCTCTTCCATGGGGGGCATGAGCCTGGAGACCCCACCTGGGATGGGCCTGGTGAGGAGCCCTGGAGGTCCCATCCTTCTCCAGCCAATGATGGCGGGCGGTGGACGCAGAGTGGGCAGCGGACGCCCCATCAAACCCCCCAAGAAGGACCTGCCTGACTCAGTCCAGGCTCAGCCCCTGAAGAAGGGCAAAATGAGCCCCCAGCTGAGGTACTGCAGCGGCCTGCTGAAGGACATGTTGTCAAAGAAACATGCAGCGTACGCCTGGCCGTTCTACACCCCTGTGGACGCAGCTGCACTGGGACTTCATGACTATCATGATATCATTAAATGTCCCATGGACCTCAACTCCATCAAGGTGACTTGCTTTTAACTTTTTAATTACTGAATTATAACATATCAAAACACTTTTTTTTTTACAAGATTAGTAGGGAGTTTAGGGGCAGTTTGTTTTAAAAAGTCCTGTGCAAAAACACATTTTAAGTACTGTAGGATGTAGTAAGTAAGGGATAATGTGCAGCAAGGCGGTCATTATGGGTAAAAGAACACCCGACAGGCAGATCAGGATCCCGACGCGAAGCGTATACAGCCAAACTGTATACAGTTAAATCGACCTGACTTCTTTGTGCAGATGTGAGCGTCCTTAACAACGGTCAATAAATCCTTGACAGCGGCCTGTCTGTTCTGGATTAACAACGTGTCACGTGTTCTGAATTGACCAATCAGAATCGAGTAGTCAACTAAGCCATGTAATAATAAATAATAAAAAAATAACAAAAAATACATTTTAAAATAAATGTATGTTGTGTCCGATCTTTCAATGTAAAAATGTTCTTTTAAAAAACATATATGATAAAATGGGTTATTTTTTGTAAATTGGCAATTAGTATTAAGTATTATTGAACTGATAACTGGAAGAAAAAAAAACATTTCGTTGACGTTCTAAAACTGTCTGTCTCTTCATCAGAGGAAGATGGACTGTCGGGAATACAGAGACGCTCAACAGTTTGCTAGCGAAATCAGACTCATGTTCTCCAACTGCTACAAGTACAACCCACCCGACCATGATGTTGTAGGCATGGCACGGAAACTGCAGGTGAGCTTATCTGTCCAATTGTACTTAATAATAATAATAATCAGGCCTGAAATAAAAGTGCAACAGACTGTGAAAAAACCCTTCTCTGTGACAGTTAATTGCTCATTTTCTCCCCTTTCTTAACGTTTCTTTATTTGCTTTCTTTTTGTGCCCCAGGATGTGTTTGAGTTCCGATTTGCAAAGATGCCAGATGTCCCACATATGGATCACTCAGCCATGTCAATAAGTGGCAATCCATCATCATCGTCTTCCTCTTCTTCCTCCTCCTCGTCCTCATCATCCTCCACCTCAGAGAGTGAGCCCAGCAGTGAGAGTGAAGGGAGTGAGAGCAGCCCTAACTCCGACTGCGAAGAAGTGCGAGCACATCGCTTGGCTGAGTTACAGAATCAGGTGTGCACACAAGTAAGTCCTTTAGTATTGGTTAGTCATCTTTGATTACAACATATTGTATGTGGAAACAAACTTGTAGATACCTAGATAATTGTCTTTTAATGTTATTTTCTGATCAGCTCAAAGCCATGCACGAGCAGCTCGCCGCCCTCTCTCAAGGCCCCATCATTAAGGCCAAGAAGAAGAAAGAGAAGAAGGACAAAAAGGAAAAGGAGAAGAAGAAAAAGAAGAAGCTGGAGAAGAGGAGTCGAACTGAAAGAAGCAGAGCTGGCTCTGAGGAATGGAAAATGCCCGGCAAGATCCTGAAAAGCAAGTCTGCCAAAACAGTTGGCTCCCAGCCAAAGAAGAGCCAGGGGAAGAAGAGTAACAAGAATAGCAAGTCAGTAGTAAAATAATGACCCATCCTACAGAAATACCATCAAACCGTATCACGTTTTCACTTCAAAGAGTTGCTCAAGCTACAGTTACAAACACGCAATCTTGTATATTTCATGACTTATTCAGAAAATCAAGTAGCTCACTATAATGGGCTTTTGTCCTGACTGTACTGTATGCTTCTCTTGATTCTGCAGGCCCACAAAGAAGCCCTTCTACCCCCCACCGCCCACATCCATGCTGCCGCACTACGACTCTGAGGAAGAGGAGGAGTTTGTGCCCATGTCGTACGATGAGAAGCGCCAGCTGAGTCTCGACATCAACAAGCTGCCGGGGGAGAAGCTGGGTCGTGTGGTCCACATCATTCAGTCCAGGGAGCCTTCCCTGAGGGACACCAACCCCGAGGAGATCGAGATTGACTTTGAAACACTGAAGCCGTCGACACTGAAGGAGCTGGAGCGCTACGTCATGACCTGTCTGAGGAAGAAGCCCCGCAAGCCTTACGGTGAACTAGGTAAATGAAGCAATCAAATAACAGAATATCTTTGTTTCAATAATGTCTTACGGAGCCCCTAAAGGGACATGGAAAAAAAAAAAAAAGAGAGAGAGATCGAGATCTCGTTCGCCAAGGAGTTACCGGTGCGCCAAGGAGGAAGTGGAGCGCACAGGAGTTGTGTTTACGTGGGGACTCAGACTTCATTTTAAGGACATTTCGGCCAGGGGTGTGTGGTTAAAACGTAGCAGCCTGCGGTTACTCCAGAAGGCAGCGGGACGTGTAACTCAGAGATAAGCAGCACCAGCGCTCAAAGAGCTTTTACGCACCGCCTACACTGTGTTTACCTTCATTCGAACAGCTAAAGAGTGACCGCACACACCTCTACACACACACACACACACACACACACACACACACACACACACACACACACACACACACACCTCTACACACACACCAACCAGGGTTTCCGTTAGCTGGTAATTACCGGTTTTTAGCTGGTCAAATGTATTAAAAACCGGTAAATTCAAAACCTGCCGGTCAAAATGTCCGGTAATAATTAGGGATGCTCCGATGGATTGGCCGCTTATCATTATCGGCCGATATTCACTCTTAATAGTTTGATCGGTGCTCTCTATAAGGGCCGATCAGGAGAGCTGGATCTGATCGATATGGACATAAACGCGAGTGAAGTGTAACCGCACGCGAGACAGAGATCAGATCAGCTGCTGCACATATATTTATTCTTCACTGTCGGGTCACTCATTACTGGATCAGCGAGCTGCATGAGACAATACTGACAGGCTGTCAGGAGAGAGAGAGCGAGAGGGAGAGAGGAAAAGAGAGCGCTTCCGCTAATTTCTCCCGTGTTATTATCCAAAGTTAATGTAAACTTGAATAATGTACTTCATTTGAATGTAATAATTATGTTGGTTGTTGTTTGTGGAAGCGCCAGTGAATGAGCCCCATTAACTGAGTTGTAAACATCACTTTAAATGGAAGATCCCCGTAGGCCCCGCCCACTCGATCGGATCGGTGATCGGTATCGGCCGATACTGATTCCGGCGATCGGCCCCAAAATTGGCGATCGGAGCATCCCTGCTGAATACAAGTATTTATCAATTCATCGTATTCCTCTCATCTACCAGGAAGTTTCTCTGGATATAAAGCCAGGCCAAGTCACTGCCATCGTTGGGCTCAACAGATCGGGGAAGTCCACCTGCGTCAAGCTGTTGGAGAGATTCTACCAGCCCCAAGCAGGGGAGATCCTACTGGATGGGAAACCTCTGAAAAACTACAAAGACCAGTACCTACATGACAAGGTGGGTTGTCACAGGACATTTCTACAGGACCAATTTTTATTAGAATATTTTAAGCTGAAAGTGTCTAATTTGATTTTCATTGAGCGCAATAATCAGAAACGTACAGGACCCATGATGTGTTTTAACCAGGGATCAATGTTTCTTCTAATGCATTCCTATGTTGAATGCGTATAGACATGAATTTGTATAATTGAGATATCTATTTTTCACCAAGAAGAACAGCATATTCAAACAGTAAAGACTGCATTCAGTTATCAAGTCTTTTGAGAACTTTCTTTAAGGCAGAAATATCAAGAAGCGTAATTACGGCATTCTTTTTTTGGGCATTAAGATGAAAAAAGACCTAACAAGATACAGCCTGGAAGCTGAAACCTGTAGGTTTATATTACATTGCATTTAGCTGATGCTTTTATCCAAAGCGACTTACAATAAGTGCGTTCCATGTTATATGTTTGTCACAGGAATATCACAAGAACACTTAGTAGCAATTTCTGCTTATTTTTTGTCAGATGTTACGCTCATTGTAAATCAACAGTCACACAGCAACTGAGGTTTCCTGTGCATCCTGTTTATTTATAGATTGCTGTGGTGAGCCAAGATTGTGTGCTGTTTGCTCGCTCTGTGCGGGAGAACATCAAGTACGGCTGCGAGGATGCGTCGGATGAGGATATGTACAGAGCTGCCAAGTTGGCCAGTGCACACGACTTCATCACGGATCTGTCAAAGGGATACGACACAGGTCCGAGCCACGACACAATCTATTAGCATTCAATCCTTATGTGTAATTCTTCCAATTGGTTCTTTTTACTTCCTGGAATTAAAAGAATATCATTTTTTTGTAATGTTTGCACAATGTAAGAATCATCTACAGATTCTTAGTAATAGAAAACGTTTGTTTAAGTAAGTCTTGGTACCAGAGTATCTGCAGGTATTGAAAATCATATAATTATGTTTCCTCCAAAAACAAGCTTAGATAGTAATAAAAGTTCTTCAATTTCATTAACATAACACTTTAATATTATTACTGACAGCTACAGTAGAGTAGCTAGATCACCGTATCAAGTTTAGCAAAAACTCATATTAACTTAAACCATTTCAAATTTAAATCAGGTAATGCATCCATTTATGTTCTGTTATTGTTATATACTACTGGAAAGAAATGGAAAACGTGGTTCAAAAGTAAAGGATAATAAATGTATATACAGAAATACAGTTAGAGTAAGTTGATCACCTTAGCATGAAAACATGTTCTTTTAGAAACAAGTATAAATCTGAAAATTAGAAAGTGCTCATTTAACCAACAGTACATGTTGTGGTTTTTCCTCATGCAATAAAAAATGCACTGCTCCCCAAAGATGTACATAAACACAATAACAGCATGCCTTTGTGTCGCACAGATGCCGGGGAGAAGGGAGGCCAGGTGTCAGGAGGACAGAAGCAACGCATCGCCATTGCCAGAGCTTTAATCAGACGTCCCAAAATCCTGATTCTGGACAACGCCACCAGTGACTTGGACACAGAGAATGAATATCAGGTAAGAAATTCTTGCTCTGAGTTTCATACATTTTGCTCATATTAACCAGATTTCTTCATGTAACACTAAGTCATTATTTTACTCAACAGGTGAACCAAGCTTTGTTGAACCCAACCAACAACTGCACCGTGCTGTTGATATCCAACAGGATGAGTGTTGTAGAGAAGGCCAATCATATATTTGTCCTCGACAATGGTACGCTGAAGGAGGAAGGCACTCACGATGAGCTGTTGAGGAAAGGCGGCCCTTATGCTGAACTGTTGAGAAAGCAGAATATGGGCTTTCACCGTGAAGAAGAGGTGAAGAATGATGCTCAGTGATACGTGCGTGCAGGGGTTGCCCTCAAATCAGAAAAGCAGACGTGTTACCGGAAAGTTGCTAGTTAAAAATCAAGACATGAAGAGTCAAAACTCCAGCTTTAAATAATGACAGAGTTGTGAGACCAAAACGTATACATCAAAGAGTCTTTGAGTTTTTTGAAAAGCGCTATATAAGTGTCATTTATTATTATTATTATTATTATTATTATTATTAATATTATTAACCATACATACAAGTGTTGTGAGTATTTGCCTATTAGGAATATTTCCCTTCTTCATGCCCCTTTAAAGCAGGTGGAGTTGCAATGTGCCAATGGGTGTGAATATGAATCATCCAATCCAATCCACTTTATTTCTTTTGCACATTTTAAAAACAGAGGGTTTGCCAAAGTGCTTCACAACGAACATAACATTATAACTAAATATAATATTACAAGAAATCATCTTGAAGATAGTTTATGACAATCACACACTTGTTTGCTTCATACACACGTTTTATGTTGATATTCTGCAAAAAAAAAGCAGAAGTGAATAATAAGATTAGATTAGACTATAATCTTAAATCCCTAGAATCATTTTAGAGATTTTAGATTGTGTGTAATGATGTGATTGTATATATTGTGTATATTTGTGATTGTTTTATTGTTTTATCAAATAGGCTTGTTCCCTGCATTTCTATCAGAAAATGAAAGATTTCAGTTTGAGCTTTTTTGTTTCTAAAATTATAATACATGGCTAAAAGGGCTGAAATTTAGTTTTTTAAGGAATTCTATTTCTGTAATGATACTCAAACTACTGATCATTTATTTAAATTTAAATTTATTTCTGAAGCTTTATGGCTTGACACAACTTAAATATGTGTACATTAAGGAAACTTTTCTTTTAAGGAAATTATTTGTGGAACTAGTCATGGGTCATGGCAAACATGCAACAAAGGTTTAATCAAATGCATAATAGAAGAATATTATTTCCGAAATATCGCTAGCACTTCAACTTTATTTATGTTTCTGTTTTTTTATATGTTCATCTGATCCTGTTGGCCTTAATGCAAATATGTGTATATATGGTAAATTGTTAAAAAAAATAAAACATAATAATTCCACCATTCCCTGCAGACAAAATGATGTTCATTTGTTTAAGTAAAGTCGTAATTGTGAACACTTTGAAGCCATAATGTAAAAACTAAAAAGATTCAACGCTGCTATTGTGTTCCATGCATTTTTGTTAGAAAAAGTGGTGGGGGCATTTCTTTAGATTTAACATCAGCATAGCAGTGGACTAAAGATGTCCCTGCGCTGGGTGTTGAACCTCAAGCACCTGCATGAAAAACCAATGCATAGACCCCTGGACCACCAATGTGTTCTGAAAAGAATGAACGCCCAACTATAGGTCTTGTGATGTGATTTGGATTTAATTTGTACCTTTATGCACACAAAGAGCACACAGGTATGGAGGAAAGAATAATTGACCAGCATAAGTAAAACATAAATAAATAAGTGAAAAAAAACTAGGAATAAATAAACACAAGAAAAATCAATAAATACAGGAATAATAAATGTAGAAATAAATACAGGAATAACTAAACACAAGAAAAATAAATTAATACAGGAATAATAAATACATAAATGTGGAAATAAATACAGGAATAAATATACACAAGAAAAAAGAAAAGAAATACAGGAATAAATAAATAAATTTGGGAATAAATGCAGAGAATTTAAATAAACACAAGAAAAGGAAAAAAAAGTACAAATACAAAATACAAGTATTTCTACATTTATTTCCACTTACATTTATTAAAGTGCAGTGTCTTCGCCCTGCTGCTGCAAAGTGGGAGCAAAGTTTTTTTTTACAATTAAAATATACTAAAATGTCCAAATTGCACATATAAACCAGTGTTCTTGTTTATTACATTCCTTTGCTATTTTTCAGAACATTTGTACGTTACACTATAAAGAGGTGGGGACAAGTCTCCAGCGTCCCCGGCGCAAATTACGCCTGTGGCTCCATGGTTCAAATATGACGGAGTACAAGATGTACCGACCATGGTACCGACCATGAAGATGCTGGGCGTGTGCTGTTTGATAGACGTATAGTTACAGCCAATAGGAGGGCAGTAGTACCACGTGACAGGAAGTACGCA